GTACCAGCCTTGCCAGGAGACGAAGCTGAAACTCCGGAGAAAACAGGACAACTTCTTGTTGTGCTGCTGGCACCACGGACRCCTCGGGCTCGCTCCCGTGGCACAGCAGGGCCGATTCTCCACCCGGGACAAGCGCGCACAGCGGGCGTTCACAGCGACCGTGGAGCGTCTGTCCCAGGAGGGCACTGGCAGCTTCCTCTGCGGGTGTGAAAGGGAATTTACTGCTTTGGTGACAATGCCGCTCTGAAGGTGATGGTATTGTCAGCACTGAAGAATCCCCGGCTCCAGCCTGGGTGCGTCCCCTTGCAATCGCTGGGAGCCGAGGCTGCAGTGGGGGCATCCTGGATGAGGAGCTGATGCAGGAGCCGTGACCAGGAAATCCTGCAGCTCTTGGACGTGTCAGGCAGCAGCAGGCAACGGGGCTGCCCCCTGTCCCAAACGCCTCAGAGCAGCAGGGACACCCTCCTGCCCACTCGCCCTGCACCGTGCTGGGACCGTGCCACCCATCACGGCCTCCCCGTGACAGGAGTTGCTCAGCTCCTCGTGCTTCTCATCCCTGGAAAACCTCGGCCGCTCATGGCAGCCTCTGTGCTGGAGAGAGAAGGGTTTGGGTGCAGAGAGCTTGTKCCTGCTGAGCTGCAGCTGCCAGCTGAAGACAATTTTGCAATAAAGGCTGGGTATCCTGCAGGTCCCTGTGTCTGCCTGTCTGTCTGTCCATGTACACCTTTCCTGAGCTGCCGGCACTGCCCCGTGCCCACAGTAGCCGATGCTGATGCACACGAGTGTGGGGACAGGCTGAATTGTGCTGGGGGGGACATGGGGTCACAGGGGCCATGCAGGGACCTGCTCCACCATGGCCAGGCTGAGCCACGTCATGGGCACAGGAGCCCTGAGCCCCAGGAGCCTCAGAGCAGCTCCAGGGACTGGGGACACAGGGAGGACTGGAGGGACCTGAGCAGGGCATGGGGHTCCTGAGGCACAGAGGGGCTGTGCTGAGAACAGCCTGGGGGAATGGGCAGTGRAAGCAGTGGGTGCTCACATCCATGTGCAGTGGGACAGGGGCTGGGGATCCCCCTTTGCATTGCCACAGCAAGAACAGGGTGGCCATGCAGGAGCACTGCCCAGCCTGGGGGCTTGTCTGGGGTTCAGGTGGTCCCTGTGCCGTGCTGAGCCACCTCCCCCACGGGGTGTCCTGCCTGTCCAGAGGGGATGGGCAGTGTGGCAGTGAGAGGCAGGCTGTCCTGCCATGGGGGCCATGCTGGACACGGAAAGAGGAACCTCTGGGACAGGGCTCAGCGGTCAGTGCACAGCAAGTTGAATCAGTGACCAGGAGAAGCTGGGACTGCAGGAAACACGAAAAACCATGATCCTGCTATATTTGCAGCAGTAACGGGCGTGGTACCAGGGGCAGAAGAGGAAGTGAAGGCCGAGAGATAGAACGTAGGGTAGCAGAGAGAGCTGCCCTGAAGTGTCCATGTGGCTCCTGCTGGCGCTGGCCTCGACACTGCTGGCAGGTAGGGCTGAGTGGATGCCGGGGTTGGAGCCCCACATGGATCCACCAGGAGAGAAGGGAAGCATTGGAACAGCAGCACCACTCCTGCAGTTCCGTGTGTCTCCACAGGCTGCGAGGCGGTGACGGGACCCGGCACCGTGCGGGGATTCCTGGGGGGATCCCTGTCAGTCACCTGCACGTACCAGCCTGGTCAGGAGAAGTTGCCGAAATTCTGGTGCAGTCCGCGAGCAGTTTATCCTCGTTGTGCTGATGATTTTGTCATCACGTCCGAGTCGAACCCCGAGGTGCAGCAGGGCCGATTCTCCATCCGGGACAACCGCACACACCGGGCATTCACGGTGACTGTGCAGCGTCTGGCCAAGGAGGATGCGGGCACCTTCCTCTGTGGGGTGCGAACGGGAATGTTTCAGTTTGATTACAGTGCTGATGTGGAGGTGATCGTGGATCCAGGTCAGTCCTTGTACATTCCCTGCACAGCAGCAGTGACCACAGGCTTGGGGGGCTGGGCCAGACCAAGGGAG